CAGCGCGGCGCTTAAGTAATCGGCTAACGATACATGTCAGATACGCTTTCTTTATGTATTCTCAAATGTTCATCTTAACGAGTAAAGTGTAATAATCCGTGTCACATTTCATTGGGATGGCAGCGTAATGGGACTTATACAGCTTGCAGGTAAAAAGTGTAAATACTCCACCAATTACAGGGGAGACATGATTATTGGGGGATTATTTTGGCTGGATCTGACTATTGAGGGGGTCATGACCCCCCTAAACCCCCTGGAAATTACGCCCATGTACGCAATATAAAAAGGCACACTGAACCTTTAGGCTGTTATAAAACACGAAGCACAAGCAACACCATGTTGCAGTAATGTTTTGGGTTGGATGACTTGGATCTATTTCCCCAAACAATCAGTACTGTGCTACTGACGCGCAAGGCAAGTTCTCATCACGGTGGTGCTGTACGGTTGTTTTCTCTGTACTCTGAACCTCATTTTAATTCATGGAGTTTGGTATTACATTACTTTTATTCATTTTTCCACTCCCCCGGACACACGGCGAAGGGGAACCCGAAAGCTTGTCCTGTAGCATGTTAGACATGCGCTCTGGTGATTCTTTTTTTTTTTTTTTTGGATTACCTACACGGCGCTACCTAATTTATTGTGATTTTTATGCTCCTAGCGTTGTTCAAAACCGATGACACGCTGCTTCAAAAACCCAGGCTCTTCACACAAGAAAAACATTGTGAAATAAAATACGAGTTGCATATAGGCTACGACAGAACACTTGGGTGTATGTTTGGTCGTGGTGGGAGCGGCGATTGCTACGAAGGAAAAGTAGGCCTAACTAAACTAAAAATGCATATGAACGGAGTACAATCGAGTACTTATTGAGTCTATTTGTAGTCTTTTAAAATTCTGGTATTTTATATAGAATATTTAAAGCATCTTATACATACAGTGTCCAACGCTTTTTTTGGCATCTGTTTAATTGCCACTGTTTTGTATTTGACCCAAAATGTGATTCGGTACACGATAAGCTGTCAGGTCTTGGTTCATTAAAATGCATCGTAAAAACGGATTAAAATCTGCAGGACGTGTGTTGTGAATGATGGTTAAGGAAATGAATCCTGTGCCTTCGGGTGTGGCTCTGAACAGGTTTTCTACCCTAAATACGCAATTCTGTCTTCTGCAAATAAAAGCGGCTGAAACAATGACTGCACGCCTGAGGGTGCTGCACAAAACGAGTCCCTAAAGGGACATGATCTCGCCAACAAATGTTTATATTCTAACATGTGACGCCATCAGTGACGCTTCTGAATGTCCTAATGACGTCGCTCTGTGAGGAGCGAGCCGCTGATTAGCTTGTTTCGGGCTCCCTGACTTCCCGGGGCCCCTGGGGGCCCTGTGTGCTGTTCTGTTTTTCCCCTGTCTAGCTTGATGCATGCAAAATACAAGAAAGCCGGCTCCCGTGTGTCCTGATGCACAGCATTGCGTGCTTAATTTGATCGAATGTGCTTTCTATTTTAGGCTGCGGTTTTATACTATCAGCTCGCCTGGTTTACTCTGTCTGGTTTAATCTCTTGTTTACGATTTTCTGCTCGTAGGATATGGAGCTTGGAATTTTTCATCATTTGATGCATGATTATATAACGAAGGCTTAATTAGCCACTGGTTTCACTTAGGGCTTTTATAAAATCAAAGTTCCCTTGATGGTGTTGTGTAGTTGGGGTTTTTTTATTTATTCGGATGCTGGATGTTTTGTCATGCATTTAATTCTCTTGAATGAGATAATCAATCTGTTGTTGGCGACTGAGAGTCCGTTACGGAGGCTGCAGAGAGATACATGCCGCCGTCGACATATCGATCCCTTAAGTTCGCCTGTTAGACTTTTTAACTGAATGAAAGGAAAAGCGTAGTGATATTAATATCAGCTGGATATGTCTGTTGCGTTAAGTGAGTTAAATGGCACATGGTTTGTTTATGGTTATGAAGTAGACTAGTTACTTGTTGTTTATCCTCCAAGTGTATTATTTGCTAATTTTATATCATTTTAAAATAACACCCAAGACCGTTGAAACGCTAGGTTCGGTAAACTCCAATTCGGTGAAACCCACTGCTTTATGCTTTTCGAGGAAATCCCTTTATTGGAAACTATTTGTCGCAAACCAATAACTGCTTAATTTTACCCCTCAGCGTTTGTGAATGTAATATAATATAGACAGACTGGTCGTATTAAGTTATGTTTCAACCATTAATCCCTTTACTGTATATTGTGGATCGAAATGCTGCGACTGTACCTGTAGGGGGCAGCAGCTCGTGTTAAAAATTCATGCTAGCCGTGAAGAACCCTCTGCTCAAGAGCATTTTAATCCAGTTTTGCTCTCATTAAATGCTCCTTGCTTCTAAAGATCATGCCCATTCATTTGAAGATCGCACTGTGAATGTCAGCTGATGACTACGGTGTTCTTTAAACACGGAGAACAAAGAGGCTAGGCGCTAATTACAGGAGTCAGGGCCAGTTTAATAGCTGCCCGGTGGCTGCAGGTGAAGTGGAATGTGAATCACACCCCAAAAACGGGTGCAGCAGGGTTACGGATAAGAAGCCCCCATTTTATTTTGAAGTACGTGGTCCTAGCGAATGGTGATGATGCCTATTCAGCCTGCCTTACTATTTATTAACTTGGCAAGTTGAATATGCTTTAGTATAATGTGTTATGCGCCCATTCATAAAAGCATTGGTCACCAACTGGCAGACACTGGACCGAAACTGGATTGAATCTAGGTCGTCTGATAATTTGGACCCAGCGGACCTTGTCCTTGTGTTGCTGATGCATTCGAGCCTTGGGGGTAAATCACTGGGCACTCTGCTTAAAATTATTATGTATTTTGGTTCATCTGTCTAGTTTAGTCATTTACAAATTTAAATTGATTTCACTTTTTACTTCATATTTCATATTTGATTTCCCCTTTTGTATTAATACATGGTTGAAGACTTCACTTGTCTGTTTCCTTCTCCGTTTATACGATTGCCCAGTTTTCCTTGAAAATGTCATTTACGTTATAATAAATGTTTTTCTTTTCATTTTCCAGAGGGGAATAATTGGTTTGAAAATTCTGAAGATCAGCAGCATTTCTGTTTACTTATTGTAGGAATCTTTTTGAATAAATACAACCTGCTTATTTTTTTCAAGGTGGTGGGGGGTGGGACCACCTCAGTCTCACAGTGTAGTAGTTCAGCTGTGGAGATTGTGAACTCCGACCCTGGCATTTAAAACATACAAAGGTTAACTCCATTCATGGTGATCCACGTGCCTTGTTAATAGGTGTAATTTTTAATGGAAAGCACAACCCACATCGCATTGTTGCTTGTAGCTGGAACTGCATTGCATATTTTAGAACTGAGTTGCATTTTTCACAAAACACCCGCTCCTGAGCTCCACATCCAGGACTTAAATGTGTCACACAAACGTCACACTACAGTGAAACATTTGCCATTCCCACCAGCAGGGTTTATGCTCTCCGCAGAATGAAACGGCTCTTCGTCTATTTGTCATTATGAGTTGCTGTTAGTGCTGAAGTGCATGCAAAGCTTAATCAAATTCATGGTTTTGTTTAGGGAGTCTGCAAGATGGATTGGTGTATGCTGAAGTCCTCATGATTTCTTACAGGTTCTTGTCTTTGCGCCTTATCTGAGGAGAATTTAATACATGCCGCGCATTTGGGATATCCCCCCCCCCCACCACAGACATGCAGGTCTGTATGAAGGGCTGTAAACTCCAGCTAGGATGTTTTGAGGGTCATGTCTGAATGAGGACTGAGATTAGATGAGTGATCCCTGTTCATACTCCTCTATTGTTGAGAGGCCTGGGTGACTGATGTGTGGGTCTCTCTCTCTGTCTGTTGCCCTGGTGCATTTGCGTGTGTGTGCTGGAGCTGGTCATGCATAAAGAACTCCTTGTGGCACTCGGGCGGTTTACGTGTCCGCGGCGCCAGTCCAGTGCCACTTGTGACACCGCGCCCGCTGTGAAAAGCACTTTGGTTCCTGCCCAACGCGGGGAGTGAGCTGTGTGTGAAGCCCCATAAAAGCAAAGAATCCATTATTTATAGATCAAACATGAATAGGCCCAGCCTGGAAATTCACAGTAAATTACTTTCTCTGGAGTTGGAGAAGTTGCACTAAATGCTCATTACGAAGCCAGTTTTTTTAGTTAATATTTTTATATTTCTGTAGGACAATATGAAAAGTGACCAGGGCTCTTGGAACGGAGAAATAAATGTTTTTTAATGTATGCGTTTGTCCAGTTGAAATATTTTTTTCTGTAATTGTTGGCAGAATAAGTACATGTTTGATGAATGTTTGAAATGGCATTTCTTCATTTTGAGGAGGTTGCTGTCGCTCTTTATGGTAACTGCTATTGTAGACTATTGATTCTGCATCAGCTGCAGAGACTGGGGGCTCTTTGGTATCCAGCCAAATGTAGATGCTTCAGAAATATGCCTTTTCTTCTCCAGGGGAGCCTTTGGTATACATGTGTGGTATAGAAAAGCCTCTGTGGTATATAACTTACTTTCCAACCCCCCCATACTTTGGCTTTTCACTGAGAAATCCTTAGACGCTTTACCAATTGGTATTGTGGTCAATGGCGGTTAAGACAATGGACTAAAAACCTGAAGGTTGCTTGGTCAAATCCCAGCAGGGGGCCTGCAGGATTAACTTTTTATCGACTTTAATTGCTCTGGTAAAATACCCATTATAAATAGATACAATTAAGTCTCTCTGGGTAAAAATGTCTACTAAGAAACTAAATATAACTAAATCTTTGCTGACCCGAGTGTAACTCTCTTCACAGCTCCCCTTTGGATTGAACACAAAGGCGACAGGTACGGGGTTGATGATAATGAAGAGATGGTCTTTCTTTTCTTGACAATGAGGAGCAGATATTCTAAGCCAGGCTGCTATAGAGGGAATTCGCTTGGCCTTTAGCTAAATAAAAAGCAGGAATGAGGTTTGACTCTTGATGTGTGCTTTGGTATTAAATTTAATCAGCATCGACAAACACATTACACGCCACACAACCAAAATTTTACAGTACTGAAACACTGTGGAGCGGCTCTTTAATTGACTTTCGAACAGAATGTGAACAGTAAAAAAAAAAAAAAAACCCCAAAAAACTTTAAGAGAGAACAAGTCAGCCATAGATTTTGGCCGTCTTCACAGGCTATCCATGGAATTCACGTCAGGTGTCTGAGTGTCATGTGGATGCATGCCTGCAAACATAAACGGATGATGGAAGTTACACCATATTACCATGTCCTGTTCACCCCAGGGAAAATTACCTCTGATTAGTACAGTGGAAATCTCAAGCATGGGAATAAAATCATACTTTAGCTTAATGTGTATTTAATATAAACAAATAAGTATTCCATATATTCCAGTCTTTTATCAGTATATTGGAATTCCTGCACCATATATGCAGTTAATCAAAGCATTTAGCAATGTATATCCATAATCATTTATTTGTAAAAGTCAAATTTAAGGATGTATCAGATTTGTGGTTAAACTTTAAAGCAGCCGATTTTTAATGGGGGGGCTGTCAGCGAGGAAAGGGCAGTGTTTGCAATTGTAATGCAACAAATACTTTCTAACTGGGAGTCTTTAAATTAAAGATCATCCTCTGAAATCCTGGAGGTCATGAGCACTGAGGCCAAGTCATCAGGAGGTTTGTGTGTCACTCCTGAATGTCACCTTAAAAGCAGGCCACTTTCTTTGGGTTCATTTTAAGGACACTTGTGTGTTCGGTCTCAGTGGCGGCCCTACCCGTCCTCTTCTCCCTGTCCTTGAGGAGTCCTGTGAAGGGGAGGTGTTGCACAGCCTGCTCCTGCTGAACGCCCACGTGGGCCATTAAGGGAGGGGGAAACAGTGGGACTCTGCACTCCTAAGCGGAGAAGCGAAGAGCAGCGTCAGAACGTGCAGTGACAGGCCGGTCAAAGCCGGCTAAGGCCTCTGTCAGACCATACGGCAGCATCACTGCTGTCGCAATGCCCCCTCGGCAAAAATAAATGTGCGGATAATGCGAGTAAGGAAATATTTGCTGTTTAATATAAAGGCAACAAATAATATAAGTAATATTGTTATATAATAAATACATAACCTAACAAAGCTGTAGGACTGTAAGAATACAGAACTGGGCAGGCGTGAAGCCGCTAGTCACCTGAGTTAAAAAATGTAGTCTGACGTGCTTTTGTTTTTTGTTCTAGACAGGGGGGCGTGGTTAAAATTCCTTGCTTCATGTTCATTTTAGTCCTGTTAATTTCAAAACACCAGTGGGAGAATAGTATGAGCAAATATTGTAATAGAAGTAAATTTCTGTACTGAATATACAAACTAAAATCTTGTTCGTGGTATTTCAATATGATTGTATATGCGATTAATCTGTTTAAAAATTAATCTCAGTTTAATATAATGTAGACTAATAGAGGGATTCCCAACCCCCAGGCCACTGAAATTTGGGGGTTTGGAGGAGGGGGTGGTTAATTTCCAAAAAATGAACTATACATTTTCAAACCATGTGTTGTAAACCCTCCCGTTCTCTAACTTTTTTTAACAGCTATTTTTGTAAGGAAAATGATGGCTATCGAGTCGGGACAATACAATTTGCTAACCATGGGGGGGGGGGGGTGCATACAATGTGTCGTGATCGATCGACTAGGGATGCCTAATGGGTTGACCGGCCCTGAACTTACATGTATTTAGTGGTTAAGAACACGGAATCATAAAGCAAATGTAGGCAGCTGAAATAACATTGTGCATAATTGCAGAGGTGGAATGTTCAGGTCCAGAAAGTACGAATCCAGACCAAGATTTTGTTTCAACCAACCAACTGAGGACTCTGTGAATGTGAGTCTTTATGCTCAACTGGTTGGTTGAAACAATATGATCTGGATTTGTACTTTCTGAAGCTGAACTTTCCACCTCTGCATAATTTATATTTGATTATACCTCATTTATACATCTGCGTGAAATTCCTCGTTCTATTTAATTTTCCAATTAGACACCAGTTTTAAATCGTTCCACGTAAGGTCTGGATTTAGAGCAATGGCGAATGTGTAATCCCTACTAAACAGTTTATGTGTTTTTAGTGATAAAGTGCGTAATAACCTCCGGTGAATATGGCACCCCCGCGGACTGGAAGTGGGGCAGCCCAGGGACGGAGTCTGCTCCGGCGCCGGCCATGTTCAGCAGGAGCGTCTGGCAGGCGTAGGGGTTCCCGTAGTAGGGATACAGCTTCACGGGGATGGGCATGGTGAGCAGATCGCCCGGGTACAAGTCCCTTGGAGTCAGTTCCGCAAAGATGTAATCGGCGGGGAACCGAGGTGCTAGGAAATACAAGAATTAAAAAAAAAAGAAGTGAAATTACAAAGGTAATCCGTGATCATCTAGCCATCCTTTTTCTGCCCCCACTTGTCCCGTTCGCGGGTAGCCGGAACCTATCCTGGAAGTTAAAGGTGCAAAGCAGGGAACAACCCAGGATGGGGCGCCAACCCATCGCAGGGCACATTCACACACCATCCAGTCACACATGCACACCTACGGGCAATTTCGTAACTCTCAGCATGTTTTTGGACCGGGGGGGCGGTGACCCGGAATACATGGGGAAAAAAAACCACAACGACAAGGGGAAAAAATGTGCATTCAAACACATGGAGCACAAGCGGGGACTGGAACCCTGGTCCCAGCGGCGTGAGGCAGCAGCATCAACCACAACACCACCGTGCCGCAAAACCGTTTAATTTAAGAATAACTAGTTGACTTAATTCCATTCATTCAGATGAATAATTTAATCCTTGGTCGATGCCATTTCTTTCCAAACTTACTTCTATTCATAAAGGCACCGTCTTTATTGGACTGCCGCTGGGAGGCCCAGCAGTGCGGATCCTGGGCGTCCGACCCGGTTCCCTGCGCGGCAGCACCCGCCGTCGGTGTCCGCGCCTCTTGTGCCACTTGCCCGGCCCCGTTTCCGTGACTCGCCGTCGGCGGGACTTGGGGCGCATCCTCCGCCTGCGCGCTCGCCGGCTCCCCGGGTTCCGCTTCCTCCGCTTGGCTCTTTTTGATGCGCCTCTGGAAAGCCATGATCTTGGTCCTCTCCGTGATGAGGGAGCACTTCCAGCAGGCGCAGTGGTGAAACTCGCACTTCCCCGCGTGCCCTTTGAGCTGCACGATGAAGCCGTGGTTCCTGCATCTTGCACACTTGGGGTTGCGGGTGATTTTTCCAGAGCTTTGCTGCTTCGCGTCTTTTGCCAATCTAGGCATTTTTCGTTTAAATGTACTTCACTTTGATTATAATATGACAGCGTTTAAGTTAATCCTTTTAAATCGTATTGATAATATCGGTGATGGTAATGGTATGACAGTTAACAGTCTGGGGTGGGGGTAGATGCAATGTCACGTGATATTAACCTTGAAACATTTTGACTGTGGGAATTGAGAAAGAGCGAAGTTCCCAGGCCAATTGAAAGAACTATTAAATTGTATTTTTTTTTCATGACGGTCAATGTCAAATTAAAGATTGAGGGGAAAAAAAATCCGAGTTTGTAGTGGAAGCTGATGAAATGACTGTCCCTGGGCTTTATTATATTTTGATCCTTTTTTTTGCAACCTGTAATGATGTATTTACTTGATGCAAATTAAATGCATGTAGTTGCCTCCAAGCGTATACTGCATACATGCTGTCTTCAAATTATCAGAAGACTAATATCAGAGATATTCTTTAACGATTTCTCTCTCAATCTGTCTTCAGAGGAGCGCGGCGGGTGTCGGATAAGACTGTCGGACGGGGCCGCGCTGATATTTTGCGAAGGGCACGTGCTCGACCAGTAAAATTTGCCGATGGGGTCGGGGGTGTGTGTGTGGGGGGGTCTTCTGTGATCGGGTCCCCTCGGTGCAATTCGAAAAGAGGCACTCAGAAGGGAGGGACTTTCATCAATCGTTCGTGCAAAAGCTTATTAAGAGCTTATTAAGAATTTAGAGACGCCTCAGTTCACTGTTGTAGACGGGATTTAAGGACTTGCAGGTTACGGTGTTTGTTTAAAAATGTTAAGCATGATGATGGGGAGCAGTCGGGCAAACGGGTGTCATCAGCGATTGTTGAGGTTTTTTTTAAAAAGTTCTTTTAATTAGATCATAACTTGCTGATACGCACGACCTGGAACTGTGATCGGTGTCTGCCGCATCATCTTAACAGCCATGTGCAGAGCCACCGCTCCCTGTCCTGCACTCTTAACCCGAATTAGTTGACTTTACTATAAAATGCTTGTAAACCCGTTGCACTAAACAATTTTAGATTTTAAAAAGGGTGAAACTAATCAGATTGAGTTGTATTAACATAGAACATTTAGTAGGGATAGCAGACAAATTAAGCTTGCATTAGTAGTCTTTACTAAAAATTATTAGCTCACATTACAATTTTTTTAATAAAATATTTTAAGTAGTGATAATTGTTATATTTAAGAAATGTATGAATCTTAATTTTAAAATGTTTAAAGTTAAAAATTATTTTGAAGAAATAATCAACAACATTTCAATGGATTTTTTTTTATTGTTGACATAGTTGTACTTAACTTTTCAACCAAGACATTTTTTGCATTAGCAAACACTTTTGTTTGTTAACAATCATAATTTTTTTAGAAGAACATGAACACACAGTATTCAACAATATGCTATATCCATGTGAATGACTGAAATTGCATTAAAACTGGATTAGCATTAAAACCTGAGGCAAACCTCTGAAACTTTAACCTTGAGTTGACCACATTAACTTATATTAATACAACAACTGATTTAGACACTTGGCACAGATTTAAACACTTGGCACAGAAACTAAACTTTGGATCACTTCCAGTAGTGACAGGATGATCATAATCAAATTGCAAGTTGATTTTTTAATGATTGTATCTTGGGTTTTAAGTTACTGTGGCCCAACATGAGGAGAACTTGTTCAATGAATTGAAATGTGTTTTTCATTGTTTTGGGATAGTTCAAATGCAGTGCATATGCAAGCCCAAAGAGAATGCACACAGCTTTCGGCAAGTCTTTAATTCCTTCCATAACGACTTCTCCCTCAATAACGATCTTAACTGAGGCAGGATTGAGGTGAAGAGAAGATGGGCACAAAACACCTTGCTCAACAAGGAGGATTCCAAAGTCAAGGTGCCGAAATGACTGATCATCAGAGTCCTACCAACAGAGCAGATCAATGACATTTCTGATTAAATAACCATGAGAAAATGTATAAATAGATTATGACTGCTTATGTGTGAATTGGTTATGACCATACTTAATCAAAAGGGCTAGTTCATCCAAAAATGAACATTTTGTCATTTAGTTATTTACCCTCACATCATTCCAAACTCATAAAACTTGTGTATTTTTATACTTCCCCCCATTCAAAGTCATATAAAGCCGATTTCTATCTTTTGAACTCTACCCAACAGACCTTTAAAATGAGGTTATCTGGACTTTTAAAATAGGGACAGAAAGTCACAGGTTTTATTAAAAATACCTTAATTTGTGTTCTGTAGATGAACAAAAGTCTTATGGGTTTTGACTGACATGAGGGTGAGTATATGATGACGATATTAAAGAGAGGTTGGAAATAGCTTTTGCTACTCTGTTTCAATGGTTTAAGCTATGTGTAAATGTTTATGAAATACAAGGACTATCTATTAATAAAATGCTTATCTTTTCTTGGTACTTCATGTACTACGTGTATTTGTGATAACATGAGAAAATAAGTTACTTACAAAGCATGCTTTGAAGAAGTCCGTGGGTTTGTCACCAAGAAGAATCGGCAGCCCTCTGAGCACCAGTGACCTAATATCAGTTGGCTCTTGAGTCTGTTGGGTAGTTTAAAATAAGAGGATAAATAGCTACAACAATAGGAAATTATCTAGAAGAGAGCAGAATAAACAACGCACAGTTTTGTTGGACAATTTTATTAGACAACCAATGTAGTATCACTTATTGTGACATTTTTAACAACTGAACTGTAAAAAAATAATGCAGTAATAATATGGATATGTATATAATATGGACCAACCTTGATTTGTTGTAAAAGCTGTGTCAACAGCTGTCCGACATTTCCTTTCTTAGATCGAAAGATCTCAATTAAACAAAGACTGTGTCGATCAATACTTTCATTAAATTCCTGCTTGAGGTTTTTTCCCACAATCCTGCTGAACTCCATGAACACCTGCAAAATAAGACAAAATACAGAACATTATTATTTCTAAACTAAATTACACTGTGGTTAGATGCACCTGCATTGTGTGTGAGAAAAAATTAAAGGGATACTTGAAAATTAGCTCATCTTTTACACAGCCTTATGTTTGTCCCAGATGTATATGAAATAATTCAGGTGACACAAAAATGATTACAACTGATTATTCATCAACTGCTGCTGTGTGGATTGTGTTCGCTTTGTGTAGTTTTTGAAGGTCAGCTTTAGTGGTCCTGTATACTTGCAATACATGGTCTAACTACATAACTGTAGATGTTGTATTCATTGAAAGAAAGTAATCTGTGAGAGCATAAGACATGAACAATGACATAAAATAATTATAGAAAGAAAGAGAAGTTATACAATTCTTAAACATACCTGATCTTCTGTGAAAAGAGCAGGCCAGCGTTCCACCATCAGGCTTATGGCAGGCTTGGACCCAACCACCTCTTTTCTTCTAAGTGCAAAGGTAAGGTCCATCTTCTCTTTCACAAGTTGTCCATTTGGTGTTCTTTTCTGCATTTCTTCGACCAAGACCTCACGTGCATACTCAAGACCGGTCTGATCAATTCCCTCTGGAAAGTTGGGCATGTAGTTGAGCTCGCCTTTCTTTGCTTTCTTTAGAGTTTTGTTAGCTGGTTCTCCTGGGGTTGAATGACATGTACGCTTACCAGCATTTACCACAACATCAAGACAACCGGATTGTCTGAGCTTTGACCTGTAATTAGCCATTTTATATTTCAAACTATTCTTCCAACCACTACAGCGACTGGTTGAGCCCTTTTCTTGGAGACAGGGGTGCTTGTTGATCAGTGCAGCTGCAACGCTTTCAAATTGACCATTGTTTGGGTATGCTGTAAAGCCATACATGTTCTCTGCCAATTTTTCGAGAATCTCATGTTTAAGATCTTTTGTTACTTTAAGTAGAGTCCCATCACTAAGATACAGCAAATTTGCTTGCCTGAGTCTATACTCCACATCAACAGAGAAACATGGAATATCAAATAACTCTGGCCACTGTGCTTGCCGCTCATGAGATGACTGTGAGAGGATCTCTGTATCTGCTGTACTGAGGTTTTCATCCAAGCTTTCTGCAGATACTGAGCCAGGAACCAGCTCGAGTATGGGGATAACTTTGATTGTGGGTTTTTCTGGAAGATCAGCAATATCAGTCAGATTGCATAGTTCATGATTAAATTCAGGATCTTTGTACTGGAAACTGAATTTGTAGTCAAGTCCCAGCAATTCTTTAATATTGCTTATCAGTTCCTCCACTGTATCAGGCCTCCTGTTCAGGGTGAGCTTTCTTATGTCTGCCTCAGTGAGAATGACCCTCAATGTCATCTTTTCTGCCATCTGCATCACAAAAGAAGCATGTTAAAAATATGCATGTCCTCATTTCAAATATGAAATGAATGAGCAAAATGAGAATTAGGGGAAGATTGATTTACATAAATATTTGCATAAATAAGAAAATGTTTGGCACATTTTTGAAAAAACTGAACTGTGACTATTTAGGCTAGGAATGACTGCACCTGCCACACTTTTTGCTGTTTAACACAGAATATAGCGTCTGAGTGTCAGTATTAAATTGTCTCCAAATCTGTAAGCTGGAAGAGGGAAAACATCATTAAGCTCAATTGGTCGCACGACAGACAGAGAAGAGTTAGTGCTATCACAGAGCTCAAATGATCTGAAATGCTCATGATACCATGCAGTCATCTCTTTACAGACCAAGAGGATCTCAGAGTTGATTGCCACAATCTTTTTGATCTGCTTGAATTTAGGGAGACCTGAACATGAACCAACAGAGACCATCATATCAGCAGAGTATTTTATTCCATCTAAAGAGACTGAAGATGCAACAAGAACTGATGCAAGCTGAGGAACTCTCTGGCAGAAAATTTGTTGGACATTCTCAGGGAAAGATGTAATTGATGATGAAGTAACCCTGTCCATTTCAACTGCTGGATTGAAAAATGAGCTTGAGTCTAAAAAGTAAGCCATCATTTTCTGATGCTTAACGGCCAGTGTAAGAGCTACATTTCTAAAATTATGTGCATTCCGAATAATTTTTTAAAAAAATTTATGCTTTCCCTCAAAGCGCATTGTCCAGACAGCTGAAAGAGGACCAAATGCCCTTATCATCTCAGGGTAATGCTCAATAAAGTGGTGTTTTGGGCGTAATCTGAAATCAGGAAATGTAGTTTGCAGCAGCTCCCTGTGTTCTAAAAGTTTGCAATCAAGAAAATGGATTGACTCTTCAGTGTGTTTTGTTGCTACCACCAACTCAACAATGTCTTTGAGGAGCAACAGAATGTTCCATGCATTGTCTCCTTCAGGTACTTTGTGACCAATGAGAAGTGGGAGTAGTCTGATTAGAGCCCAGTTCTCATGGCCATTTCCCCCTATGGTCCCTTTGGTAGAGAAGCCATTGACAATGGGCTGAGGCTGGTCTGTGGAGTCATTAAAGGCATATGGAAATTTCTTTATAGCATGGTTTAGTGTTTCCAAACTGAAATATTTCTTAGAAATCAGGTCTGAAATGCAAAGTGATAACTCCACCGGAACAATACCTTCCAAAAGGTCATGCAGAATGTCAGGGGGGTACCCATGAACAACATGAAAGTTCTCCAGACTGCTTGTCAACACACATTCTCCTTTCACACCATACTGTTTAGCTAAAATAGGATCTTGTCGTACCTCCTGCACGTGCTGATTGTGACTTTCTTTAGTCCTGGATTCAAAGGTGCCTGAAGAAACGTCTGTGTCTTGGATGTCACTCCTTGCTGCTAAGCAGAACCTGCAGAACTTGTCCACCATAAAGCTCTCAAAGAATCCTGCCAAAGAATGAGCGGCCAAGTTATCAGCAGCCACATATGACACTGTGCCTTTTATACAAGCTCCCAGCTTCTCAACATATATACCATGTTGCTCTAAATAAATCAGATCTTTGAGGAGAGGATGGAAAATTTTAGCATAGCCATATTCCTTTACATGAGAAGCTTTACATAAGAGAGCAAGCTGAATGGAATGAAGTGTAGACCTGTATTTTGCTGGCAGATTAGCTAGAACCCAATAAACCGCATTCATTTTATGTTTCTTTTTTGACGTTCCTAAAGGGTTGGACACTTCAAAATCATCTGTGTAGAGCCCAAGAGCAATTTTGAACTCCTCCCCTTTAAGCATGCTGTTTTCTTTATGGTTTGAACCATCTATGTATGTGTTGTACTCATGTGGCACATGATTCTGTAGTGGTAGAGCTTTGTCTAAAATGTCTGCTCTGTTCAACATTTTCTGAAGCATTTCATTTATCGGAACATATACAGCACTACATTGTTTTTCTTTACCAATAATATACTCCACTGGTCTAACCACTGTAAAATTCTTGCTCAAATATGCTGCTCTCCTTTTAGTGGTTGATAAGGAGCCTTTCTTTGCACAAAATCTTGTTATAACATTGCTGTCTGAGGCAGCCTTGACTAACTGTCTCACAGTTGAATCATCTATATCTGTGTATTGTTTTAGAATTTCCTTGACTGAATTATGGAGCAGTGGCTGGGACAGTTCACATATCTCTACTAACTGTTGTATGATGTCTTGTATGGAACTCTCCGGAATGTGAAGGACAGTTTGCATCTTTAAAAAAAGAGCTGCAAGGTTGTGCTCCAACTGTGTCTCTAAATCGTACACCTCTTCACAGGTGGAATCCTCTCTGTCCTCTAAATCAGGGGGGTCATTTGGAGGCACATGTTCTACTTGGGCCATTTCAATGCCAGAATTAATTACACCACCACAGATTAATTCTGGCCTGAACATCCTCCAATTGTCTGTTCTGTGCTTTCTGCTTCTATGTGCATTAAATGTGGTGTACACATCAGTACTAAAGTCACATTCTTTATATGGACACTGGACTCTTTGATTAACTTTTAAATGTGTATTGCGTAGGTGAGTGAACAAATCCCCTTCTGTACAGGGTACAGAAAAATCACATAACTTGCAGTGAATAGTTACTTGGACAGTTTCATACAGCTGAGTATCGTGGGCTTTCGAGTGAATGTTAGATAGGTGCACTTTAAGAGCATTAATAGAGTTGAATGTGCACAAGCAATCTTGATGCAGGCAAGGAAATGGAACAGTTCTGCTGTAGCTTCCATGTTTTACCCTATAATGTTTTAATAGATGACCCCGTTTGTCACATGTAAATTCACAAAACTTACATTTCCACTGCATCTTCTCTAGAACCTCTGAACAAAGCATAAGAAAATGTTTAGAAAAACCTGCAGATGTAATTCTAAAGTTATTAACTTCTGCTTGCAATCTTAGCATTCAAATAGTTTAAATTACTAATATAAATAAGAAAGATAATCACTCGTGTAACTTTAGCTTTATGTGTTACCAAAGGAAAGTTAGCATTATGCACGTGCACATGCATGAAATGAACCGACAGAAATAAAACTTTATGCCGACTGTTTAGCTATACGTACACACGTTGTAGCTAAACTGTGAACATACAGAGACTACAGACACATACAGAAGCACTAGATAACATTATAAATGGTGACCAGACAGAAAAGGCTAATTTATATTATAATGTTATAGCCTAACTGAACCAACAGGGAAATAAAAAATATAAAAATAGCGTTGACCAACACATTAACACTACATTAACATTTTAGAGTTCAACATCAGTCCAGATATTTTATCGCTTTTGTCAGAAACGCACAACCAGATAAAACCTTCTTTACAACCTCACCGTTACACGCTGCTTTCAAAAATCCGCGATACGCGCGCACCAACGGTCAGAGTACACTCTCCAGGTAGGGTTCTGCCCGCGTAAAAATCTGATGCAATCAAGGCCCCTCCCCTCCCTTGCAAGAACGTAATGTACCGAGGTGTCTACTTAAAATGATCATTCCGCTCAATTTTTTCTTCTGAATAGTACAAACAGCTAATTGGATTTAGTAATGACACCGATTTTTTTAAAACAAAAAAAAAATAAGTGATGACCACTTAAAATGTTTCATTAACACAAAATCCGGGTTTACAGTGTGGGTGGAACTCTCCTCCTGGCTGATTCTCATATCCACATCCATCCAGTATGGTTTTTGTAAAAATGCATGATCTAATGAAAAGATATCCAAACAAAAAAAAAGCAGATCATGGAAAAATCATGGAAGGATAGGACGAAATGGGCCAAATTGTCTTTTCGATGGTAAGGTTTATTTACTGATAACTAAGGTGTATGCAATTAATTTTTGCCATTACCATATGTAATACGTAGACAGCGCTGCTGGCACTGTGGTGATTGAGGGTCTGTGCGGGAAGCGAGATGAATTGTTATCCGTTCAGAATGCAGCTGATGCTGATGTTACATTAAATCTATTCAAGCATCAGATGAAGGGTTCAGTAATATTGCAGGTTATTAAAATAAAAGGCAGTCGTATATGGACTGCAGTGTTGGGATACTGGGCTGATAACCAGGTTAGTTAATGTAAGCATACCTGGAAGCGCCGGATACCTGAGCACATCTCGCCTGGAGTAGCCTACGCTGTGTCGGACTAACCTCCCAGCATCGCTGTGGATTTGCAGCCTAAAGGTTGTCTCTCCTACATGTGACATTTGGCCGTTTGGCTAACCTACAGTAGTGAATATATTATGCCCTTTCAAACACAGAAGCCAATTTGACGGGTGTTATACTGTAGGAAAGTACCGTAACAGGGGCGGTTCTGGGGGAGGGTAGTGCCCCCGTGAGAACATGTATTTATATATGTGGCTTCCACTTTGTGCGCTGGGAGCAAGCGAAACGCAAACGTAAGCACATTTTCTTGAAGGACTCTTAACGTATGTAAGATGTATGGTTATAAAATATAGCTAGTGCTTTGTGACTTGGTGTTTTCTTAACAAAAAATTAATATATATTTTTGCAATGTAATTTATTTTAAAATATATATAGGTGGACTGTCCATTTAAACTTATTTAATCAGAACCTCGGTATGGGTGTCAGTTTTCGAAATTATCGGTATCGGCCAGAAATTTTCTTAACTATTATGGGCTGATGAGGTTATTATTGATATTAATGCAGGATCACTGTCTTTGTAAGTTTGTCGGAACCTGAAGGTTTTCAGTTTAATCTGAGTGTTTTGTGTTTTATTACGCAAATCTGCTCGCTCTAGAAAATAATGCCTAATGTGAGTTAAGTGGGGAAAACATACTGAATATAGTTTTTAGCCATTTATTTTGCATAAATGACCAGTTAATATTCAGGTCTTATTCCAGCACTGGACTTCACGGGTAGCCTTTCATTTGTTTTGTTTAATTGAGCCTCATTCTCCCGCGCCTAAGCATTTTATTACAATTTCCCGCCCAACCCGAAAAATCCATTCTATGTTAAAGATACTGTATGAAATTATTCGCGTAACCTGGCCTTTCTTGAAAGGAACAGACTGGTTCCTGGTGTGTAAATGTAGGCATTTTCATAGAGCATTACTAATTTAAGCTGTTTTGAATTAATGAATCTGGGAACGTGGTGTCCCGTGTGTCCCCAGTGTAATTTTGAACAATGGGTTTGTTTAATTCCTGTTCTGCATTTTCTCTGCATTTTGTCTTGTGGGATGTGTAATCAGATATGCTGCTTGGAAATTCACCATGGCAAAGTGAAGTGATTATTCGGTCTGTCACTTAGAGATACATCCCATACACACCTCTGTCTAATGAATGCAGACTAAATCGATAATGACACCTCTTCAATAAATTATAGAATGGAAATGGAGTTTGTGACGCTTTATCGTTTTCAACCTGAGTTTCTGTTTCTCTTTATTCTGGTATTGAGTTGCCCAGTCACCCATGAACAGGTGATGACTTAACTGCCCCCCCTGTGCAGTGTAACCCCCAGCCAGCCCCTGATTGGTGGGCCCGTCTGTGGGAGGAGCTTGTGGTCGACCGTCATGGCCCGTCAGCAGCAAATTAACTCAGGTTCATTAAGGTCAGAAATCTCGGATAAGGTTAAAAACTAAGGTCATTAAGTGTTAAAAGTCATCCCTCTGTCATTTTCTGTAGGGTAATTAAATCTCTCTTTATGCTTTATCTCTCTGTATGCTGAGGGTGGAAATACTATTTTCTATTTAGTATGGGACTGAAAGATTTCCTTAAGTCAAGACATCTTGGACCCATGTAATAGTCTGCAGATATGGCAGGTGACGTCCCCTTTCAAAAGGTCACTTGAAGACCCCTGGTGGCCTAACAGCACTTGTCGGTTTCATGAAATAACTTGGCAGATTTAGGTGGTGTCCTTTCAGTGTCTTTTAGTCTAGAAAATCAGCAGGATGTTTAAAATGACTTTTGCAAAACCTGGCTTCTCCTGCAATCATCCCCACAGCAGCGGCTAATTAATTCTTGGGACGGCTGTCATTCACAGCATCCGGCAATCTGCTGAGTGAATCACTGCTACCATGGCAGTTTAAAAAGCATAAGCCAATGATGGAGCTGGGTTTCTGGTCACATGACCACCCCCTTTCTGGGCCTGCGGAGGCCTGAGAATACGAGTGAGGAGATCTCCCTGATTCAAAATGATCATAAACATGTCTAATTTAGCATGGATAGCTTGTGACTAGATTACCACTGTGTGTCTGGCGCTGGTTATGGGGACTGCTGGTCTGCTGGCTCCTAGTTAGGTTAACTGCTGTTTTGCTGGCTCCTGGTTAAGGAGGACTGCCGTGCTACTGGCTTCTGGTTATGGGAGGTGCTGTTCTGTTGGCCACTGGGAGGAGAATATGCTGGACTGACCTGGGGAAGGAATAGAGCCAGACACCATGGTAGGCGAACAAAACACGGGGCTTATCTGCAGACCTGAGGGATTGGTCCAATGGCCCTGATGGCACATGGCGAAGCATGAGTTTGTCCCGCGGTGGACGAGGGGCTTTTAGAGAAGCGCTGGGGAACTGGGCCTTTCGGCGGACGGGTTAACTGAAGGTCTGCCTCTTTGGTTGTGGCACCACTCCATCACACCGCAGGTGGGTGCTGACCTGCAAATGGAGCCCAGCACTGGCCAGTACAGAAACATGCGTTTTTTTTTTTGTGTCTCAAAGTTCTTTTGAGGTCAGGGAGACTGATACTGTATCATGGGTGGGAGGCGGGGAGGGGGGGTGTACTGTCCTGTATCCCAGCAGTGAATAAAGACCGGGGGGGGTCTGAACCAGCTGCAGGTATCTGAGATCACAGCTGTGCACTTGCTGTAGCATCTCTGAGCATTTTGCCCGTTCCTTTTCACAGGGTGTTGAAGGTTACACGCTTTCCCCATCATCCAGGTCCCTCGGGTCGTGTCCGCAGAAACTGGGCCAGGCTGGTAACCTTACCGGCTCTCTGTCCAGCAGAGATAGTGGCGCGGTGCAGACTAAAGCTGCCTTTTAAAATTTTAATGGCCCCTTCTTTTTAGCTGTCCGCCCACGCGCCCGCAGGCTTCTGGTGACACCAGGCCTCCTCCCAAAGCCTGTGGTAGATGCCCAGGGTGCCCCTTGCATTTCAATGATGGGCAGTGGAGGGCCGGATTGACTGGGTAATAATTCATCGGTCTTTAAGAGGCTGCCCTCCCCTCAGGCAATACCAGGGGTCACTAGTTTCAATTTAAATGCCACAGACAATTTAGGATTTGTAATTTTAACATAAATATGACTGAACATGCAGGCCACAAAAAGACCTAATCAATGTCTCCTGGGAATCTGTCAGTTTTTAAGTTGTATTATTAGTATTTTTTTCATTAGGGTATTGTATTTAGTAGGTGAAGGGTATAAGAGGGCATAAGAGGTTTCTGTATCCATAGAGACTGTTGCCGAGATGCTCATAGAGAAAGACTTTGACACTGTTACGGCCACGCGGCTGTGAGTCGCGTTCGACGCGGTCTGATAAATGTGCTCCGCTACATCATGGCTCCGCCGCGGTCATTGATCACGGTCAGACGCAGCAGAGTCCACCGGGCGTAAAGAATTACAACCGTCGAAGTTTTTTTTTTTTTTTTTCCTCCTGTCCTGCTGCTACCTGATGCAGTTTTTATTTGTGTTGAAGTGAAGGCAATTTCCCGGCCCGAGTCGCTGTGTTTTGCGTAAAGGTTGATGTGGACGATTTAAGGGCAGCTGTCATAGAGAAGGATGCCGCCCGTTACGTTTCTGTTCCACAGGGTCCCGGGTTCGAGAGGAGGCTCTTTCTTGTAGAGTCTAAAATGTTTCGCTCATCCACGCATAGGACAGGTGGGGGCGATTCACACCCATGCTATCTTGAGATCTTTTATGATTTTTAATTTCTGCATTGATCTCCTGTCTTGCTCATTTCGAAAACTGTACTAGTAATTACTGGGTCATTTAGGACTGAATGTTTAGCCACACCATGTCTGAATTGCTCTTCCTCTTAAAGAATCCCGCTCTTGGCCTGAATTCCCCTTTCTAGGTGAGGTTTGGAGAGTCGTGCATGTTTGCTAATACATGGAATTTTTATTTGCATTCTTTGGGTCGAGTCACGCGCATTCCTTTAATCCATCATGAAAGTGCCGGGGTAGGAAAAAACGAACAACGTAGCGCAGTGATTGAGTCCCAAACCACTCGCACGGCGTTTTGCAGACAGCTGCCCTCAGGTTTTTAAATAAACATATTTAATACAGTCCTGGATTTCGCACCTGGAATCCTCGGCGAGGTCATTCATTGTTCACCTTTTCTTGCTGAGGCGGCTGGATCCAGCGCGGCCGTTTTCGGGGGCTGTGGCCTGTGGCCTGTGACCGTGGCGTCTGGTGACGCCCATGCTGCGGGGGTCAC